AGCCTATACCTAAAGATACAGTGAAGATTAGACTATGAAATAAGACGTTACCGTTAAGTTTTGTATTAAATTGAGTACACAGATAAACTATATGAAAACACCACTGTGTGTTGTAACCGAAACAGGAAGTGGTACTGCACCGCAGAGAGCCAACACCAATTCCTCATCTCCAAAGCAACCTCCATCTCACCTGGACTCCAGCCCTTTGGCCCCTCCTCCATCCGTGTCTGTGGGAGGTCCGATGACACCTCTGGATTTGATTATTAGTTTTACTTCATCTCTGGCTCTCTTTCACTGTATGTCTCTGTCCTGTCCACACACCCCAAACCAGTCGAAGCAATGGCCTCCCCACCCAGAGCCTGGTTCTGCCAGAGGTTTCTTCCTGTTAAAAGGGAGCTTTTTCTTCCCACTGTTGCCAAAACGCATTCTCATAGGTGGTCATAGGTTTTCTCTGTGTTATTGTAGGGTCTTTACCTTACAATATAAAGCGCCTTGAGGTACAAATGGGATTTGAGTAGTACCGAGTAGTTCAACCTTTAGTTGAATTGTTAGTCTGCATGCATATCGATCCCTCTTGATCGATTGGTTCATTTGTACTTGTGCTACAATCAGTGGATTTCAGTTTGTGTGCCGGAGAAAGAAAAGATTGTCTACAGCATTGATATGAATGTTACTTTTATTTTATTTTTAAATGACGAAAGGTAAAATGAGGTAGGTAATTGTGTTTCAGCTATTTTATCAAGTAACAAGTAGAGTAACAAATTACTTTTAAGAAAAGTCTTCTGTGTAATATATTACTTGTTTTGACCAACGACCCCGAGAGTGTTCACAACAAAGATGGGAAATACCTCACACATGCACAAACATTTGACATGCATACAATTCATTTGCAGAATATAGTGTCTTTGATATGTTGCTGCTTAGAGGTGGCGGCAACTCCCAGAGTGAAACCAATAAGAAACCAGTAAAACCAGCAGGTTTAGGAACAGCTTCTTCCCCACAGCTGTCACCGTACTGAACTCTGCTGAACCTTTCCATCCACACTCACTTAACCCTTCTACACCCCTCCTCCCCCCATCCCTCCCAGTGACCATGATTATGACTGTCATTCATTCTCAACATTCACCATATGCTCACATTGGTTACTGCTATAGTTTAGGACACTGACATAACATAGTCTCTGTTATAGTGCCCACACTGTTCACTATTATAGTCAGAGCTCTACGCTTCCACTGCTGTAGAGCTCTGAACAGCAATATAGAACATCTGTATGCTATAGAGATCATCTGTATATACATATACATATATATACAACATTACATCTGTACATTTGTCTGCAGTTCATCTGTATATTTGGTCTCTACTTAACTTATCTGTATATAGTCTGCTCCTATTGCACTTACTGCTCTTGCACTTCTGATTAGATGCAAACTGTATTTCTTACCCTGTATTTATCCGGTCGTTAAGT